AGTCTATAGAGTACTAGAGCAAGTTAATGACTGTATAGCTAGAACATGATATTAATACTGTACCTTTGGGGGAAACCAGTGGAAACCAGTTAAGACATGCGAGTAGTGTGTCCTGTGAGTGTCATTCATCAGTGGAATGTAATGTGACAATATGGTGGTGCACATGTGAGCAGAAGGCTTTCTGTTTAATCACAGCTAGTCATTTAAAAAAATAACAGCTGAACCATTTACACATGGTATCCTAAAACTGTCTGCCACTGCTGCCATGCAACTGTTTGACTCAACCATTCACCAATCTATGAATATCCAGTTCTGCAAGCTGTACTTCACTGGCCATGCATGGAAATTTGGCCACATTACTATGCCCTGCTTGGTGCTCTCCTTAAAACTTTGGCAACACAGCAGCACTAACATTCAGTCTCCTTTTCCAGGAAGATGCATGAACATTTCCAGATTGATTTGTCGTCCAACTACAACTGCAACTTTTGTCAGATGATTTTTAGCCATCAATTATAACCAACAAGTAGTGTTTTTTTGTAATCCTGCTTTAAAACCGCACTAAAGCTACCAATAGGTTTATGAGCAAGGACATTCCTTTCACTGAAACATGCATGAGCACAGAAAACTCTCCGGTATATCTAATCAAGCGCTTTCTAAACAGACAGCCACCACGGGTGATTCAGACATTCTGGTTTCACTTTTGGGGAGCTGTCCTGTCGCTGCATGCACACACTGCAGCTGCAGCCTGGACACTTTTATTCCCAGAAAAAAAAAAACAGCATTAAGTTACTGCTAACGAATAGAGAACATTTTCTATTGATGCAGCTTCACATTAAAAGCATTTAACTGGCAAAACATGAGTTGACTTTTATTTTGAAGAAAGCTAGTCACAGGAAGTGCAAAGTGTCAGTTAGCTTGACACTGGCTGCTAATGTTGTGTATTTTTTGCCAGTGGATCAGTTTGAACTATGTCAGGGAGTAACGACATAAGAAGGAGCAGCCACAGTGAGCTGTTAGAGGAAGAGCTGCAGGTGACACACTGCACACCGCCAACCTCGCTGCCAGGTTACCAAACATACTCACTGTCACTGCTCACAGACTCATGCCGTGTGCGGCATAAAATCTGATCACAGTTGCTCGAAAAAAAGTATGGAAAAAGGCCAATTACTGTCTGATTAGTTTATCAAAAGGACAATACTTCCTCCAGTATTCTGGGACCTGTAGTATTAACTAGGTGTCAATACACAATAACGGTGCAAGTGCATAAAAACCTTAGCCATAATGATGCAGCCCTAGTTTCTGATGAGCAGTTGGCAGCTTGCATGGCAGCCTCTGCCATCAGTGTGTGAATGGGTGAACGTGACATGTAGTGTAAAGGTGTCCTTGTGGTCGGAAGGGAAATAGACAAAAGACGATGACTGAAACTACATGAAAATTTGCTGTCAAAATGAATCAAGAGTAAACAGATCTTTGTGTGTCCTTTAAAGATGCTTTTGTACTTTCTGTTGACACTACTGATAATGATGGTTATCTGAGAAATTCATTCATTTAGGCGCACTGCAGGAGCAATGCAGTCACATGAATATTCAAGAGCAGTGTGTGCTGAACCACTGTTCCACTCAGACTGTCCTTCACTAACAATACTCACACTGGGTTAGCAGTTCATGGGATTATACAGAAATGATCAATAAAGTTTTTACCTTCAAAGATGCTAATGGGTGCTCTGGACCAAGTAAGCTCCAGTGAAAGGCAGCCAAGTCTTCATCAGGCAGTATGTGATTTCCTTTAAAAACACACAACAGCAGCATACTTGTGTTAGTCAGCCTCACCTAAACTATCAGCCCCACTGCCATTGTCCCTCAGTATGACACCAACCTAAAAGTGATGCAAAAATGACAAAACGATTTGGGTTGAGATCAAGCTGCCGTGCCACTTCGTGCATCAGGTACTGGCTGGTGGTGAGGCTTTTGCCGTTGCGGCTCAGTTTGAGGGCGTGCGCGCTGAAGTAGTATGGGATGTTGCACAGGGCGTAGTCTGAGTCGTAGGCCACCAGGCCATGAAAGCCGTTCTCCCTGCACAAGGCTATCACTTCCAGGTGGTGGTCCTCGATGCTCTGGACAACCTGAGGAGTGGCCAAGACAAGGATCAGGCTTTAGATGCTAAAGCCTCAAAATAAACCTCTTACACAGACATGGCGGAGATTAGATAGAAAATCTATGTATCACACAGCATGGAACCATTTATTTATTTTTAGAAAAGGTAACACGTTTCCTGCATGCCTTGACTTCATGAATGCTACTGACACCAGAAAAACACAGTTTAAGAGATATTGACAAATAAACTGTATTAAATGTGAACTGGGCTGTACCTGTTTGTACCCATACCCATTAGATGTAGCTTTACTGTTCAGGCACACTTACTCAGCTAAAATGTGCATGAACTTCTGCACTTAGTAGTAGTTTTCCTGAATTAGTAATATTGAGGGATTTAAGTACTTACTTGCAGTATTGATTCATTTGCAGATTGTAGTCTCAATGAATCATTCTGGTCTATACGTGTACAAAAATAGTAAAAGATGGCTTGTTTTGCCCAACCCACCCAAATTTTCTCAATTTACTATCATAGAAAGCAAAGAAACCCAGCAAACAGCAGTGACTTTGGGGCAATTTTGTTAAAATGACTTAAAGATCCCCTCTAAACATGTCTTAAGACATATAGAAAAACAGTCTACTGAGGCAGTCTGCAATAAAAGTATAATTTCCACATTAAAATCAATCTCCTCCTTCTACCTCATTAATATTCCAGAATCTCTGAATAT